AGACATTAGTGTATGTAGTCCAGAATTCAAGTGTTACTGGAGACAATGAAATTGCCTAGTGCTAAAAGATGATCTTCTGTATAGAACCTTTCAGAACGATGATGGTACAGAAACTAAGTTTCAGTTGATTGTACCTAAAAGTAAAGTGTCAGAAGTATTACGTCAGTTTCATGACGGTGCATAGGTGTAGAACAGGGGTCTCCAAACTACGGCCCGAGGTCCACATCCGGCCCGCAGACAGATTTTGTCCGGCCCGCGGAGACATACTTGAAAAATCCTTTTAGAGAACAAATATTTTTTATAGCAAATAAAATGTTTGTGATAAGTTGGATAAAGAAACACAGAATGGTAATGAGTAAAGACATGTATAATTTATGCAGTAAATTTAACTTCAGCATATAATAACTAACAAATTATTGAAATGAATCCAACTAACATTTTATACATTGTAAGTAACGAACAACACATACCTTATAACAAACATGACATATGAAATGCTAATGAGATGTATGTAATTGAGATTTTCCACCGACAATAGTTTGTAGTTGTGGACTAATTTTACTTGTACCAATTATTAAAAGAGATTTAAGATGCTCGTCAGTTAATTTAGATCTGTATTTTTTGTGTACTTCATTTTGGAGAAGGTTAAGGTTAGGAAGAAGAAAACAGCCCACGAGCAAATTTATGCAAATTCAGTGTCAGTGGAAGACTCTTATAAAATTCCAACAAAGATGAGTTTTCATATTTGTTCTTAATTATATCACTGCACTGTGGTGCAGTGCAATGATACAATGTAAGACTAATGGTTTTGAGCCGCCGTCATTTTCTACAACCTTTGACACAAGAGCGGCCACACCTTTATCTTTCCCACTCATGTTTTTGCCTCCATCAGTTGTAATACATTTCAAGTTTTTCCATCGAAGGTTCTTTTTAGTAATGGCCATTTCAACTCCTTTAAAAATATCGGTACCAGTAGTTGTGCCATGAATACTATACATATCAAGAAGTTCTTCGTGCACTTCATAGCTTTTATCTACTCCTCTAATATAAATCAACACCTGAGCAGTATCTGACACATCCGTTGACTCATCCAAGGCCAAAGAAAACCACTCAACATGTCCATTTTTGTCGAACAGTTGAGAGAATATATTTTCAGCGATGTTTTCTACCCTTCGAGCCACAGTGTTTGCTGACATACTGACAGTTTTTAATAAATTTACCTTTTCAGGGCACATTTCTTCGACTACTGCAATTATGCATTCCTTGATCATTTCTCCATCGGTGAATGGTTTTCCACGTTTTGCAATTTCAAGAGCCACGTGAAAGCTGGCACGAGTTGCCGCCTCTTGTTCAGTTTTGACTTTTGTAAATAAAGATTGCTGCGATTTCAATCCGCACTTCAAAGCTTCGAATTTTTCTGTCCGCACAATTCCTGTATATTTTGAGTAATTTTGAGAATGTTTTGTTTCATAATGACGTTTCATGTTATATTCTTTAAGAACGGCTATGCTTTCATTGCAAATCAAACATAGCGCCTTGTTACTGGACTCAATTACGAAATACTGAATGTTCCACTGATCTTTGAATTTTCTGCATTCACTATCAATTTTTCGCTTCTTTTCCATTCTACTAAATCACACACAAAAGCAACAATTCAAATCAAATCAAAATACTGTTACACGCACAAACTTGTTTTAAGGAGGTACGCCCTATTTTATTTCACAACAGTTTCATAGGAACTGACTTGTAGTTACGCCACTATTGTCATCGCTTCGTCCTCGCACTCGTCCCACTTAGGTGGGGTCTTTAGTCTCCTCCCAGTTATCAGGTGCGTAACACTTAAGTGATTTGCGGCTATTATTTTTCAGACTTCTTATTATTTCGGATAGTTAAGTGTGTTTGTGACAATTTCTAACAATGGCGTTGAAAAATAGTAGAAAGAATAATTATGTTAGTAGTGGACAATCTCGGGAGAGATTGGAGATTTCCACTGGTGGAAATATTTTGTTTGTTTATGTCTACCTTGTATTAAATTAAAATATATCAAAAATAGGTGAATATTTGACATACTTAATAATGTTGACAGCTTACCACATTTACAAAAAATTAAATTATTCGTTATTTTACAAAAAATGATCCACACTTCAGCAAAATTCAATTACACATAAAATACAGAAATATATAAAATATATAAATAATAATAAAATATAAAAAATATATATATATAAAATACAGTGTTGCCATCTTGGCCCTCGGAACTTACTGGACTAATCAGTATGGCCCTAAGGCTGGAAAGTTTGGAGACCCCTGGTGTAGAATATAATCTTCAGTTGATGTACCTAAAAGTAAAGTGTCAGAAGTATTGCGTCAGTTGCATGACGGTGCATCAGGTGGACACTTTGGTATTACGAAGACTCCGATTACTTCCGTAATGATGGAAATAAATATATCCTGGTAGCCATGGATTATTTTACGAAATGGACTGAGGCCTATGCGATACCAAATCAAGAAGCTGTTACTGTGCAGACGTACCTGTTAAAGAATTCTTTAACCGATTTGGTGTTCCCTTGGAGATCGACTCCGACCAAGGGCGAAACTTCGAGTCGACCCTTTTCCAAAACGTTTGTAAATTAATTGGTGTCAATAAGACCAGAATGACACCCCTGCATCCTCAATCAGGTGGAATGGTCGAGAGGATGAACCGAACGATGGGTAAACACCTGTCCAAAGTTGTATCAGAACATCGAAGAGATTGGGACCAACATATTCATTTATTCCCAATGGCCTACCGCTCGACCGTGAATGAAACTACAGGCCAGACTCCAACCTGGCTGATGTTAGGTCGTGAAGTTCATTGTCCTGCGACCTAGAGTTTGGCTGCAGATCTTCCGAAGAACATGTTGCAAGCGAAGATTATGTCGACCGCCTGAAGTTAAGAATGAACAACATTCATGAACTTGCCCGATAACACATCCAGTTAACCAGAGACATAATGAAAGATCAATATGATTCTCGATGTAAGAATGAAAGTTATGAAGTAGGTGATCTTGTTTGGCTTTATAATCCACAACGTCGTCAAGGCTTGTCTCCTAAATTGCAAAGACAATGGGAAGATCCGTATGAAATTAAAAAGAGAATAAATGACGTAATATACCGAACTAAGAAGTTGCCGAAAGATAAACCAAAAGTAGTTCACATAAATCGTCTTGTACCTTATGCTGGCTCAAATGAAACAGAAGAAGCACAAACCCTTCAACATGAGATCAAAGATGACCGATAACCAAGCTTTAATAAATTTATCTCAAATTACGCAGAGAGAAAGAGTGCTAGATTCGGCGTGCCCACTGTGTTGCCCAAGATCTTGAGACGACTAAAGGAATGTCATAATCTCGTATTTTATAAGAGGTTCGGTCGTTTAGACGAGTTAAAAAATCAGCAGCCTAAAGTTGGAAGAGTACTGAGATTAGAAGATGGTCCTCGATCTTTGCTGTATATGGTGAGCAGGAAGTCGTATACAAAGAGGGTAACTTGAAATCAAGAATTTGACCTTACCCAAGATAGGCCATGCACTAGAAAATCTGGACTGGAAGATTGTCAGAAGCATGCTTGATCTTCCGAGAAACCGGCATACGAATTACTGTGTGTTGAATTAATCCGAAGAGATCGTGTCCTTCAAAGTCAGTAGAATGTTATTTCTTCTTGAGGGGTTCATGCAGAGCTGGAAAGTCCTGTAGATTACGCCATCCTGGGCCTACATATAGAGTTGCTGAGATCGAGATGCTCAGGTATAAGAGGGGAGCAGTGTTACGAACATGCATTCTACGTAGCCCATATAACGGTTGCAGCCCGGGAAGAGGATGATCTGTCTTTCTAGAAGCGACAGGAACTGTCGACCTCTGGAGAGTTCGACAGGTCAAGCAAACGAATAAGAGGTGGACTACGCCAGAATATTTTAGTACATAATAACTTTTGTGTATAAGCATACCTTCTATGAGTTAGAGTTGAGTTGATAAGATATTACCGAACTGTAAACTTATACGTAATTATATTTATATAAATTGGAACCGCTCGTTTAATTTAATCTCGCTACAATATAATATTCAATTTGTAGATATAGATCTACCTTCTTCTTAATTACATAGGAACAAAGTTCATTTTGCATATTTTTAAGTTTGGATAAACCTTCACGTTTTATCTGTAAGATAATAGTTAATGCAAGTAATGTGTATCCTGATTAAGAGAGGAGTATGAAGAACTTTAAATTACAAAAAATGCATAATGTCTATTACTTTCTGATGTTTTCTGTATAATTAAGATTTTGAAGAATTATATTTATTTATTACTAATTACCTGTACCTATATTTTAACTATGTTTTAACCAGTGATATATACATTATTTCAAAATAAACCTTACTAGTACCGTGCCGGTACGTAAAATGATCTTTGCCACTAAAAAAAGATTTAACATTAATAAGATTATCCCATTTTTTTTTGTTTTATGGTAAGACGAAAGGGGTGTTCAATCAAAAATTAGTACATTAATTTGTAATCTCACATTAATATTAATTTCTTGAATTTGTGTAGTTTTACCGTGTATAATTGTGAAACATATCGATTAGTTGCTTACAGTTTATTAAAATTATTACAGTTTGTTCAAATTCCTGCAAACTATTGCCTAATATTTTATTGAGGAAATGTTGGCAATCATTTCCTCGGTTCAAATTATATTTGCCAGCTTTCAAAAGTCAAAGGTTTTGTTCTATGCCGAGGCCAATATACATAGTTGATACATCGTAGCATTTCAACATCGTAGTTTTTCCTTGATACCACAGATATGATATTCAATACTAAAAACGCAGGAATAAATTATTTTTTGAAATCAAATTTTTTTTAGGTTCAGTTCTTGGTCTATTTATCGACATATTAAGCGGACAAATGAAAGGTAAATATTAATTTTAAAAAGTGTTTATTAGTTTAATTAATTCAGTAAAAGAACTTACCAGTCTGAGGTCCAGTAAAGGCGATAATGACTGCAAGTGTGAACAAAAACGCAAATACGATAGTGGCAATACAGAGAGCCCTGTTGTGTGAACAAGCTGCGACGCCATGGTTTTCGTAAAGGCTCTTTTTCGCCTGGTTAGAGTTGCTTTCATTTCCTACAACACCACCTGAGTCACGATTATGAATGAGTGGTGAAGACTGGCATATGGAGTGACTGATGGGAGCTGTGACTCTATGATTTGTACCTAGAGTTACATTAGCGAATATTGAATTTGAAAAAATATTGCAACAATGTGTAACAATTGTCTTTTTTGGCAGGATTTTTTGTTCATTTTTAAGATATCTAGAGTTATATACAGGGTGGTCCTTAAGTAATTGTACAAAAAGAAACCGCAGATTGTACACTTTAAAATATTACGATTTAAGCCAAATTGCTTCAATAAAATGTGGATATTAAGAAAGGTACAGAGTGTTAAAGTGGAAATTAAAAATTTTATTTTTTGTTATAACTTTCATGTTTGTAAACATTTATGTATAAAAATTTACAACCGGATACTATTAAATAGGAAAAATTATAATCTGATGCATATTTTGATGTAGCTGATAGAGGGCGATGGTAGATATAGGGTAAACTGTGCAAATACCGGTCAGTGGGTAATGGCGGTCATCCCAATTGTGCGAAATCTATTCAATCTGGCAACCTCCTATAACTGCCAACGTGTCGCTACACTACTCTGTATTCAGATTCCTGACGAGCGTTGAGTTGGCGCAAACCATTGTCATAGAAATATTATTAACCTGTTTTCAGTGTTTTCGATCTTATTTTTATGCTGAGTAATATAAGGTCTTAATTCATTTTTATTCACTGTAGATCTTAAAATTGGTTACAATTGATTATAATGACGTTAGCTGCCTATTCCTTTTTTAAAGATCAATATTTTAATACATGTTTACGAGTAAAAAATTCTAAGAAAAAAAATGCCAACAGGAGGCAATGCCGGTCAGTTGACCGGTATTACCCCCATGCTATAATTTATACCCTATACTATTAATCCTTAGGGATTAATCCATCCATTTTTCGACATTGCAAGAAAGAATAAAAAATAAAAATCTTCAAGGTGTCTCATTAGGTAGAAAATCAGTATTTTCTGCCGAACAAGAAGCTAAAATAGCCACACAAAAAAAATATTTAGCTTAATTTTTTATGGCGTAACACCAATAGAACTGAGAAAATTAGCATTTGGGTTTACAAGATAATTTTTCTTGTAATAAAACACCTTTTTCTTGTAATTGGCATTACAAGAAAAAGGTGTTTGATTCTAGTTTTTTGGAATCGGATATTGATATATTATGTGATGAAAGTGACGATGCATACGAAGATAGATTCTGCTTTACAGCGAGTTTGGCAAAAACAATGAATTGTGGTATATATTTACCGTTTGCTCACGATGGGCTTATTCAGAGTGCAGTAGATAGGATTCTGCAGAGAGTTATACATGCGATGACTGTCAACTATTTTTACATTAAAACACATATTTTTGTTATTTTTTGTTTGTTTTGTAATAAAAAATATTTTTTCATCTTTCTTACTGATTTACTTGAATCAGGACCCATTAAGCCACATTCGTTAATCGTTTTATAACAAAAAAATGTTAAATAGATATTGATTTTTATTTTAATAATAACACAAACAAATTGACTGGCACTACCCACACTCATGACCGGTATTGTCCAGGTATGGTGACAATACCGGTCAAAGATACTTTTTTATGTTTTGTCTCTGTCAAAGACAAAAATTTTATATTTTTGAAATTAAATGTATTTTGCAATAAGTTAAAACCCCAAATTACGGATTGACGGCTTAAATTTGATTCACAGAGTTTTACTTTTTTTATATTAAATTTTCTTCTTAGGTGACCGCGATTTGCACACTCTACCCTACTACATATGTGACATAAATTTGCACTTAACTTTTTTGCTTTTAAAGTTACCGCTATTTGTAATGAAAAATATTAAAAATACAGTATTTTAACAAAAAAAGGTCTACTTGCTATTAATTTTAAAACTCAACAGTTTGATAGATAATCGCATTTTACAAATCAACTGCATAATTCTGATTTAACGCAATTACTCCAGGCAACGAACAAAAAATAGATAAAAAGATCAATACTTCTGAATTTTGTTATAAAATACCTTTAATAAAATTAATAGTAAACAAAATATTACATAAAATAAATATGTCAGCAGAATAATAACAGAACAAATAAATAACAGAATAATATGATTTTATATGAAACACTTTACGTTTCATATTAAATTAAAGTCATAATCAAAATATTTTATTTACAAACCAAATTAAAAAATAGTTAAACTAATTAACATTAAACTTTTTGTCAAAGTAAGTGTTCGATATGTCCACCATTTTCTTTAATTCATTTGTCAATACATTACATAAAAGATCGTCTCATATTAAATAGCATCATTGGTTCTAAATAAACTGCTGTAGTATTTATGCTGCTTATATTTGAACGAAGGATCCTGAGAGGAATATTTGGTGGCATCTGTGAAAATGGTGTTTGGAGGAGGAGATAAAACTACGAGGTATACCACAAATATTTGGTGGTAAAGACGTAGTATCTCTTATAAGAATAGGAAGACTAAGATGGGCAGGACATCTAGCAAGATCACAACAGAACGACCCTCCTAGAAGAATCCTTATTTATTATAAGTATTCTATGTATAATAATAAGTATTCTTTTGTGATTTTTATGAATTAAATAATTATATCAATATGTCACCACATGACCAAGGAATATGACTACCACGAACAATCCAACGTTCAGGAAAGTTTAATTTAAATATGTTCTCACTGCCCTCCCTCTATAAGGTAATGGTGTACCATCTTGAATAAACCACATATTTCACCTTACGTTTGAAGACAATTCTTACAATAATTGAATAAAATAATTTTATAAAAAATGTAAATAAATCTCACCATTCAAATTACAAGATTATTCGCATGTCCGTAAAAAATAATTACCAATGGTTCCAAACCATACGTTTATTTAAAATTCATGTTTAAAACGCGTCTCATATTGTTTGGAATCATTGGTAATTATTTTTTACAAACAAGCGAATTACCTTGTAATTTGAATGGTGAGATTTATTTATATATTTTATAAAATGATTTTATTGAATTATTGGAAAAATTGTCATCAAACTTAAGGCGAAATATGTGGTTTATGCAGGATGGTACACCAACACAATATAGAGAAAGGGTAGTGAGAACAAATTTAAATAAAACTTTCCTGAACGTTGGATTGTTCGTGGTAGTCATATTCCTTAGTCATATGGTGAGATATTAATATAATTATTTAATTCATAAAAATCTCAAAAGAATACTTATTATTATACTTATAATAAATACTGCAGCAGTTTCTTTAGAACCAATAATGCTATTTAATATGAGACGATCTTTTATGGAATGTATTGACAAATGAATTAAAGAAAATGGTAGACATATCGAACACTTACTTTGACAAAAAGTTTAGTGTTATTTAGTTTAACTATTTTTTAATTTGGTTTGTAAATAAAATGTTTTGATTATGACTTTAATTTAATACAAAACGTAAAATGTTTGATGTAAAATCCAATTATTCTGTGATTTTGTCAAATCCTATTATTAATTATCCCACTGATATTTTTATTTTATTTAATATTTCGTTCACTATTAACTTTATTAAAGGTATTTTATACCAAAGTCCAGAAGTATTAATGTTTTCTCTAATTTTATTTCGTTGCCTGAAGTAATTGCGTTAAATCAGAATTATGTAGTTGATTATTAAAATGCGATTATCTCGAAAACTGTTGAGTTTTGAAGTTATTAACAACTATACCTTTTTTTGTTAAAATAATGTGTCTTTAATATTTTTTATTACAAATATCGATAACTTAAAGGACAAAAAAGTTAAGTGCAAATGTATGCCACATATGTGGCATATGTGGCGCCCTCTATCACCTACATCAAAGTATGCATGAAATTATAATTCATGATATTTAATAATACCCAGTTGTAATTTTGTATACATAAAATAAAATTTTAAACTTCCACTTTAATACCCTCTATCTTTCTTAATATCAACATTTTATAAAAGCAATTTGGCTTAAATCATAATATTTTAAAATGTAGAATATAAGGTTTTTTTTGTACATTTACTTAAGGACCACCTTGTATATGGATGTGTTATCATTAAGTTGACCAAGTAATGAATTATCGTTCCTGTTTAAACATCGTTGTTAAGTATATGGATTTGAAATCAAATACAAAGAAGTTAAACAAATTACCAAATGACGTTTTAAGTAAAATTAATTTACCGAAAGATACAAAGGGTAAGCTTGTTAAAAATATCAGCCTCTCTTGGCTAACTTTTGTTTCTTCCGACCCCTAATGACTATTAGGTTTCCGAGGACAGACGGGTCACTATATTTCCTTCTATTAAATACTCTTTACCTGAAGACCACAACGGCGATGAAGGCGGATAAGAAAATTCGAAACGACGAATTAGGCGGAAATGTCTGCCCGGCTTTTAGTCGTAGTATAGAAGCATAGTACCAAGTGACTGCCGGTATGAGCAGTTCCATCCTACTAGCCAACAGGTTCGGGTGGACGAATTGGTAGTAGTAAGGGCAACCCTTTGTCATAGAGGCGAGAACCTCTAATGCGGATGAATTAAGAATGAACAACAGCGTGGAGATGCGGAAAGCAACGGGAAAGTACCGCATTAAAGATCTGTAAGGTATCCCTAGAACAGCACTAATCACGGTAATCGAAATCCGAAATGTGGCAGGGGAGGCATAAACCACGAGAATCGCAGGGCCTCTCAGGTCGTCAGCAAGCGAAACCTCTGTGATATGCTGAAAACACCTGTACAATCTGCAATTTAGAACACACAAAAAAATAAGTACGTGGAATGTATGAAGTCTATACCAACAAGGAAAAATTCGCAATGGTGTAGCTATTGTCATCAACAAAAAAACCGAAAGATTAATCAAAAGGTTTATACCGATAGCAAACAAAATGGCACTTATGAAATTAAACGAGCCAGAAAGAAAGATACACAAGAAAGTCCAGAAAGTAGAATGACAAGGACAACTTAACGCTACAAAAGAATGGAGAGAGTTCTAAAAGATCCTGAGGAACGTCATACAACATCAACTGGAGATCGATACATCTTCTAAAAGCAAA